GATTTCGAAATGTTTATTTTATTCAAAAAATAAAAACTAATTAAAGATATGCAATTTAGATTCTATGCAAATATCATCGCATGCTAATCATTTTCACTACCTTACTTAATCGCGATAACATCAAAAACTAAAAGGCTCCCTTTTCCTCGACAATCATTTTTCAGGTACTGCCAATGCAAGCTATATACTACTTTTTCTTTACGACTTTTAATTCAAGATAAAAAAGATAAAAGCTCTAGAAATACAAGTGCATCGTCCTATGTTTGGTGGGAATGTCAAACAGGTTGTTACTGCATTGTGATCATGTTGTATATGATTTTTTCCGAGTAATTCTGTGTTCGAGTCTAAAAATTGCTAGCCCTAAGGCAGAAATTTATGAATTAGAAGCGAGAGGGTTGAAGAGGTAAAATAAAGATGATCCATCGTCTTGTTTCAATCCTCCCCCACCGAGAAAAGGGGAGAGAGAAATAAGATGAAAGGAAAGAGGAGAAGAGAAGACAGATAATACAAGCTCATCCAAGAGAAGAACTCAGTGAGGAATTGCAAAGCTGTAAGGACAGTACCTATGATATGCAGCCTTTTCTTTGGACAAGAGAGAAGCAATATGCAGCTATTAAGAATTCGGTCTAGTATTCTCATGCCTCCGCAGTCTAGATGGAGAGCATTAGTTTATTTTTGAAGGCTTCTAATTGACACAGTAATTCAAAAACTAAGATGAACTGAGAATAACAAAGATGGAAACTAAATCTACATAATCATGTTTGTTGTTTTCACTTCCAAACCTAGGTTATTCAAATGTGGTTCTGTTTAATTCTTTTAGACCTACGAGAACATAATACGGACAACAGATATTAAGGCCAGCAAAGCCAGGAAGAGGTCATTTCTCTTATTCTTATAGCCATCATTTGGGTGGACAGGAAAGAATGGAACAAGATGGTTCTTTATGGAAGTATATTGCCTTCTGCTAGTAGACCTTTGATAGTTTGTTTAATGATCGTCTTCTTAGATCTTGAGAGAATCCAGGGAACCTTTTAGACACTTTTGCTTTCTTTTGGTAGTATGTAAAGTTTCTCTTGTAAATGGATGCGCATCCTTTTAGTATCCATAGCCTTTTTTTTCCCTATAAAACAAATGGGAACCTAATTATAATTTTCAGAATGGAATTCAAAGACAAGCAACTCGTTAGTGTCAAAAAACCCAAGAAGTAAATTAATCACATTGTTCTCTACTTGGAAAATGAGCAGGGGTCATTAATCAAAGTGTGTAAATAAAAGACGTGTATATTTACAGAAGAAAATTAATAGCACGAGGCCAGAATCAATGGATCATGCACAAAACTTTGACCCAGATAACAAATAATAACGACAACAACCTATGGAAAGAGCTAACTGCTCTCTCTCTCTCTCTCTCTCTCTCTCTCTCTCTCTCTCCTTACCTCAAAAAATCTAAAAGAATGAATAAATACACTACATTTGTGTTTGAGACTTATTCTAAACAACTTGAAACAGTTTTGTTTCATTGTATACCTGTTGTTTATTTCACAGTCTGGTCTGGACTCGTACACATGTATTAGCCAGATCCAAGAACTTGTCTCAAGTATAACTTAGGGTGCATCCAAAAGGGATAAAGATAGGCTTGTGACCTTTCATTTCACCAATACGACACATTGGCTACTCTATCCTGCAATTCGTCTGCAACAAGCAATCATAAAAAAGTATTAACTCTAGTAGAATCCATAAACCATATATCTAGTAAATATCAACAAAACAAACTCAAGCAATTAGAGGTGAGAAACTTACTCATTACAGGGAAAGTTACAAAATGGTTTTCGGAGCACATTTACAACTGGTAAAGATGATTCCTTCAAGAAACAAGTATGCCAGTGTCTCATGGATCATCTAAAAAACCTTCTTGTAGAGGCTCTAATCAAGTCATCTCTCCACAGCTTCTTCAATACCCACAAGTAGATTTTCAAGACACTGAGCTGCATGCAACTTATGGTCTTTGTCTAATTGCTTGAACAGAGCACTGTATGTACAAGAATCAGGCTGAATTTTCAAATCTAGCATTTCTTTGTACAATCTCAGAGCCTCTTGCCAATTGCCAATTTCACAGTTCTCGTTTATCAATATAGTGTAGGTATACTTATTAGGTAGTATTCCTTTTTCTTCCATCTCAGCAAGAAATTTGTAACCCTGATTCATTTTCCTGGCTTTGCAGAAGCCATTTATCAAGGCATTATAGGTGATAACATTTGGTAGAACACCCTTCTCCTTCATCTCTGAAAAATACATAAAGGCCAGTTCTAGCCTCCCGCTACCTGCATGTGCATGAACCAACACAGTGTAAGTCACCACTGAAGGACACAAGCCTTTGCTCAGCATGTCATTGAATATATCTCTGGCTTTCCTAAGAAGGCCCTTGTTCACGTAAGCATGGATGATGCTAGTATATGTTATGTGATCTGGAACAAGACCATCTCTGACCATCTTCTGCAACAACTCACTAGCTTCTTCCAAATTCCCCAATTTACAAAGTCCATGTATGAGAACATTATATGTGATAATATCTGGTGGGAATCCCTTAGCTTGCATTTCTTCTTGCAAACTAAATGCCCTGGTTGGGTCCCCAAACTTCAGTTCACCCACTATTCTTGTAGTATATGCATAGTTATCTGGCTCCAGCCCTTTATTCAACATTTCATTGAAAAATTCCTTTGCCAGTGACAGATTCCCCATCTTGCATGATCCATTTATTAGAATTGTATAGGTAACAACATCTGGGAGAATCCCCTGATTGATCATAAATTCTTTGAGCTGTAGACAAACCTCCAAATCCCTTAATCTGCAAAGACCGTCAATGAGGGTGTTGTAGGTGACAATGGTTGGAACTATATTCATGAACCTTAACTCATCAAACAAGAGAAAAGCCTCCCCCATTTTCCCCAACCTACAGTACCCATATATTAGAGTATTGTATGACACAACATCCGGTTTCAGATTCTTCTTCAGCATATCAGAAAACTGCTGCCTAGCATCACTCATCTTTCCCCACATACAGAGTACATAAATAGAAGTATTAAATGTTGCCACTGTAGGAGAGGCACCTCTAATTACCATCTCTTCCACAAGGCCTAAAGCCTCAGCAAACAACCCTCGTTTGTAGTACCCATATATCAATGGGTCGTAAGTGTGAGACGAAACTGTTACTCCTGATCTTATCATTTCATCAATAAGTCCCCTGGCCTCCTCTAGTTTCCCTTTCTTTGACAATCCATTGATCAGAATATTATAGGTTACATCACTTGGAAGACACCCTCTTCTCTGCATCTCTAACATTAAATCTAGCGCTTCCCGTACTTCCCCTTCTTTGCAAAAAGAATCCAGCATTGTGTTATAGGTAACAATGGTGGGCTTAATCCCATACTCTTCCATTACTCTGTAAACCTCCCTAGCTTTCTCTACGAGATTTTTATCTCTAAGCATCCTAAGAATCCTATTGCAGTTCTTCACATTAGGCAAGAAGCCATTCCTCAACATCGTATAAAAAACGGACAAACACTGTTCTAACATTGATTTCTTGGTATAAATCCATAACAAGAGATCCAGGAGCTTAGTGGAAACATCCGAATTCAAATGCTTACCAATCAGGACATCAGCAATTCCGCCCATATCGGCTAAAACCACTCTCTCCATGACCCAATAAGCCGACCTCATCAAATTGTTTTCCACTAGGATTTCAAGCACCGCACGGAAAGCAAGCTCGGAAGGCTTAACCTCTGACTGCCACTGGATCCATCGGAAGAACCGGAAAGCGATTCTAGGTTTCTCTCTTATCATGTTAAGGATTTTTACAAGCAAGTCAGGGTCAGTTACCACGGTTCGAAATTGATCAGACACCCAGTTTCTGTTACAGAACGCAAAGGGCTTATCTCTAATAGCGTTAAAAATGAGCTCTTTGAAACGGGTTTCTGGGATTCTTAATTCAGTGATTCCCCTGTTGACAATGGCAGATGGGCAGTTATGGAGAGATGTAGAGAAGGGAAAGGTAAAGCGTAGACTGAATAAAGGGTGCGTAATAAAAAGAGTAGCCAAAGATTTTGAACTTCTTATACAGAGGATCATTGAGGAAGAAGAAGGTTATACATGCAGGGCCCCTTCTTCCTCTTTCCCTGTTCTCTTCAGGCTGAACAGGGAAAATTGTCGTCTCTCTCTCTCTCTCTCTCAATAGTGATTTTTGAAGTTGTCTAAATTGGATACTGAAGTTCCAGAGGCCGCCATAGAAGTTATTTCAGCGGCGTAGCTTTTGGGGTTTTGGAGCTCGCCCCAGAGGAAGGTCTTTTTGTGGGATTGAAAGTTCTATCAGGGAAGCAGAGATCGTGGAGCAGCCACCAGCATGCCCATGGTTTTTGCTACCCGACCCGTGATTTGGGATCTGGGTCCGGATCTTAGTCCAGAAAAATGGGCCGGCTAACGCCATTTTTCCTTTAGTCTTGGTAAAGATCATGCTTTGATTTATCAGATTTTGCCTTTGGAAACATTTAAATCCCTATCTAAATCACTTAGGTATTTATACCTTTTCTCTTTCTGGTCATATAATTTGTAACGTTGATAACTTATATGGATGTATCCTAAAGATTCAAATTAGTAGATATAGATTAAAACAGGCAAAATTAGAATTTAACTTGAACTGCTTCATACCATCATCCAATATTTTTGGGCGCAGAGAAATCTTATGGGTGATAGAAAATTGCTTGATCATTCATGTTAACTTTCACTAGATGATACACCATAATGCAAAAAACGAACTATATTTTCAATACATCACTTGGCTACTATCGTATTACAGCAGGGAAAGAGTTAAAAAGGTGAATTTAATAAGTCGCTTTTGTTGGCAGCAGAAGAACGGATACATCAAATTTTCTGATCTCGCAAGAACTTGTCCATCGGAAGCTGCAGAGAATCTTCATCCCTTTTCCCAGGTCTCACCGCAATAAGTTAACGTTTGATTGAAGCCCCAAGTTATTTCGGCTTTCATCGATCCATCAGCTTAAGAAGAACGGCCTGAGAAGCACACCAATCTGCTGGTCAATTTGAGGGAACGCATGAAGGTAATTTCTAAAAGACAGAAAGAGAAATCTTGCCAAAAATGGCCATTAATAATAATGTAGATATCTGAACAGACTGAAAATGATTTCTATAAAATCCGATTGTTGATTGCTGGTCCACCCGGAAATCAGCCTTATTTATAACAGAAAAAATGAACCGCAAGATCTTACACGGTTGTGCAGATGAAAGCATGCAATTTTTTGTGACCGACTTACAGGACAGGACCGATAAGATTTCATTCCCTGATGTAGTTCAGCATGCGAGATTAGAAGCTTCACAGGACGGAATTCAAGAGATTGACCATAGCCTCTGTTGTCGGCAAAGCAAATAAGCTCACGCTGTAGAAGGTTTTCAAATGCCTGCAGAAGTAAGAGCAAAATACTAAGCGTGTTGCAAGAGAAATTGGGTGGAACACTAACCTTGAGGGTCAGTGGTAACTTGCTAGTCTAATTTCATATGTAGAGTCTATAGAGCTAGCCATACCCGTAAGCATACATCCTGAGAATAGTGATCAGATGTCTGAAAAGAATCGTGTACGCTTTTGTACTCTGCTAACATGTCAGAACAATATCTTGTTGAATAACAAATTGGTTTGAACCAAATAATAATTAAGAGATCTTTAAGGTCGACCTTTCATCACAGAATTGAAGTTGTATGAGCTTTGCTCCTTAACTTCTAACCTTTTCATGCAAACCAGAAGATAAAGTTCCAGGATAGAGCAATCTGCTTGAAAATATTGAATATGCATTTAGTATACTGCCTAATTCCAAACTGAGTTAAAAAAAAGGAAAAAACTTCTCTTTAGTATAAAAAGTTGAGCCAATACGTGATGTAACTATTAGTGGTGTTTCATAGTGATAGAGTACAACACTAGACAAATGAATAGTACAGTACTGGACAAATGTACACTACAACATAAAGGCAGTACAGAAAGTAATGTACTGAATTTTGTTTAGTGCATAAATACAGGACTAATAATATGTACGACCCACGTTACAAAGGTTTATCCCAAGTTTTAGTAGTCATAACTTTCTTTTCTGATTACAAACTGCATTCTGTTTGCTACCAAGTTTTTAAGACAACAAAAATAATGTTATACGTCAGAGTCCTTTGACCTGTACTCCAGCAACAAGTGAGAGAGAAAATAGAGGTTTAGAGTAGAATAATCGGAGGACAGGGAGAGAGAAAGATAGAGAAGTAGTTAGGAGAGAGAGGAAGAAAGAAGAGGGAAGAGAGAAGAATTCTGCAAAACCTCAAGGAATTGCCGATTTAGATTAAAATTGATTACAGAAATTTCATCATACTTGAAGATAAGGCTAAAATTTCTCTTATATACTTCCATCAGAATCCAAACAAACTCTCACATAATGCAGTGAGAACAACCCTAATAGAATGAGAACCTAAAAACAAATTCTGGGTACGATTAACCATTTATTGCGCCCTCTCTACTATCCCTAGACCACTAGACACGTCACACCCCCTTAGCTCGACGTTTGTAAACCATTAAAAGCTTGGATGCCCTATTACCCGGATCATCTTTGTCCCCGGATTGTGACATTACACAGTTTAGGTACAGTACAGTAAACAAAAAACTACCTTTATCATGCTTGTTTTTTTTTTTTGAGATAAATTTATCATGCTTGTTTTGGTTGTAATGTGTAATAAAAATTTATGCCAGCATCAGCATTATGTTAATAAATCTTTACACCTCTGGCACGAGTTGCCTGAATGCCAAACTTAAAAGACCCATAGTTGAAAGAAAGATAGATTAATACTAATCCAAGGCATGGCTACTAACAATAAAGGATCGGTACACTTTAGGTGGGATAACGGAAGAAACCTAACCAAGTGGGATGACATCTAGGTTTTTCATATATGCTGTTTTTATAGGAAAATAGGCCAGTAAATACTCCAATAAGCATAACATTCAGCATGTACGACAACAACAGTTAATTTCAGACAACTGATCCATAACAATCGCAACAAAGCAGAAGCCTCATGCTAATGTTAATTTTTCTTTTCCCTTTTGAAGATAAAGGTTAAAGAATAATAACCTGCTCTTCTCAAGGCAACCAGAGGGAATGTTTTCGCATGTGAGATAGGCAAAAAGAGCATGAATGAAGGTAACTATTGACTAACCAATTTATTTGAATAGTGCTTCTATATTCCCGCCCCACATGTTTTATTAATGTGAATAGGTTCCAAATATTAGTTCACCATAGAATAATATGCAAGAACTTCAGAGAAGAAAACTAATACACTTTGGCCCACCATGACATTTTTCATTTACGATAAAGCGACGATATCTAAATAAACCACCAAATATATAGTACATTAAGTTTGTTGCTCGACCTATAAACCCCAAAAAATTTTAAGAAGGAAATAAGTGGATAAAGTAAGTTTTATGTGGTTCTCCCGAAGACAAATATAACTATACGTGGCTGGAAAAGTCCAGAAAATGACAAAGACAATCAAGATACAAATATTTAAATAGACGTATAAAAAAGCATCATAATTTTCCATGCCTTTTATAGATTCCATCTTTGGCTGCCTCTGCATGCTTGAAAATGCAGTTTTGAAGTTCTCAAGCGAAAGGAAGCCAGATTCCACATCCATATAGGAAACAGCAAGAAACCTAGCACCAAGACAGGGTAAGTCAAGCAAAGAAAGAACATAATGATCTTTGCAGCAGTATTCACATATCTGGAAAAAGACAGAAACTTACAGAAATCTCAATAAACTGTTTACTGTCGAATTAGAGTTCAAATATGCATGAATTATATCTTTTAATCTCCCATCCATTAAAATATTCTGTAAAAGGTTAAGGGGATTCAATCCTCTGAGATATTAATTACTTTCGCAATCTATAACTAACATTCCCACGGTTCGAAGCAGACAGCTAAACAATTTTTTGTTGAAATCGGAAAAGGCTTTTCTATCTTAATGTTAACTCTCCACAAAACAAACTTTTTCCTAATGGAGAGACTACCTGATGCCAGTCACAGCTTAATAACCAAGAGTTGAGCCAAACAAGTTGGTTGATGAGCAATAGTAAAAATGGCGACGAAGTTAGATGAAAGAAAACTTTAAAGTATTGTTCTTAGTAATTTTTTGAAAGTTATTTTATTTATATTTTGATTATTCTACAAATATGTAATTCTTACATATTTTTATGAGTAACAACATGCATAATCATATATATGAATTTAGAAAGTAAAATTCATGTAGCAAATGGAAGCTAACATATGTTCTGCTTAAGACAACTCGAAAGAAGACAATTTTATCATGTCCAACTTGTAAATCGCCTAAGGGACCTCCAAGACTCCTTAATTCAATATAATCCTACTCAAGTGAATTATTCAAAAATAAATTTATATATCACCCAAATTCAAAAATAAGGATACTTTAAGCTTTCCGTTAAATTCATCAGTGTATTCACATGGGAAGTCTGTATCTGTTGGTAAATATAGAATGTTTTCCAACAACCTGCATAGACAGAACGCAAGCAAGCAGAAAAGGTTAAGCAAAAAAAAAAGAGTTCTTTTCTTAACAAAAGCCATATATTACATCGAGTAAGAATAGAAAACTTACCTGTCTAGATCTTCCTCGGATGGAGGAAGAAACAACAGTTTTCTATGGGAAAAGCGAGATCTTACCCTTTTCTCCAGAAGCTGGTCAGCATCCTAGATGAGATATGGGAAAAGTTTTTGAGTTAATCATGAATATCAGTTCTGAATCTAGTTTATTAAACAGACAAACTGGGAATAAGCTTTCTGTCTACTTTCAATTAATGAAAAATTTAAATTTAGAGCCAGGATCTTCTTTTTTCGGGCTGAGGAGTTCTATTTCCTTAATAGTTGGAGGATTAGAACCTCATACCTTAACCTCAGCCACCTATCATGTCTGGAGCGATATAACATATGAGCTATTACACGCATGTCTCTGCTCTATGCCATAAGTATTATAAACATCAATAAGAGGCATGAAAGAAGAGCAACTACATACCAATCGACAACTGATACCAATAACAACACCTTGTGATGTTACTGATTGCATTGCATCTAGCAAGCTATAAAGTACTCGTTGTTTTCCCTGAAAAGTTCCAGACAAAGAAACTGCCAGCATTATATCATAGCTACCAAATGCTTTTTTCATTTGAAGAAACAATAGGCTAATTAGCACAGTGCTTGTTTTACCAGTATATGGAGGTTATACCAGCCATACATGACTTAAGATCAAATTACAAATAGTTTTAGGAAAATGAACAGAGGAATGAGCTTCTTACCTGAGCAAACAAGTCAAATTCATCAAGTACAAATATAATTGTTTTATGTGCCAGTCCACACTCCCTGACAACCAGAGACCACAAGACAAGGGTTGAACCATGCTTATGAGAGGCAAAAAGGTTCCATGAGGCAAGTTTAATATACTCACCGTAACATAGATACTATGAACTGTGAGTTCTCATCAAAGGATGCCTGAAAAAGTTATCCGGACATCAGGAAGGCAATATTTTTAAGTTGTAAATGCATTCACTGACCTCAAAAAATAGCAATCATATTGTACCATTTTTGAGAACACCAGTTGATGTTCCACACATAACTGTCTAGCAATTTCCTGGACGGTCAATAAACGAACGCAGGTCACCATCAAAAGATAAGTTCTGGAATTGATATCATTTTGAAGCAATTACCTTCATATCTATACGAGGATATGGAAACTTAGACATGTAGCACAAGGAAAACAAACAACAACAAACAAAAAGAAATGGCCATATAGAAGATAATTTTTATGTAGTCAATATGCACACAATTAAACTCATAATCTCTCCCATGGAAGATTACCAATAAGTAAATCCATCATTATGCAAATCCAGGATCCCATATTTGCAATTTGTCACACAAATGTCAACAATTAGATCTTCCTACGAGATCGTTAAACATATGCTGTTTCCTTATGTGCTTTAGCAGCTGCATAATCACAATGTAGCTTAAAAATTTCAGAAACAAGAGTCACAAGATTACCTTCAGAAACTTTCTATCATGTAATCCCAATCCCATAATTGTCAATTTTCGTGATAATTGTTAATAGCTGAATCTTTCTAACTGACAGTTAAACCTTATGATTTTGTAATGTGCTTGGCACCAAAGCAAGGACAGTATGAGTATACAGGTTAATAAATTCAGAAATGATGTTCACGAAATCACCTTGAGAAAGTTTCTCCAGTAAGATATCTAAGGAAAAAAATGATGATCTTACACTAAATTTACCAAAATTAAGAGTCAAATTGCATCAAGTGCGGAAAGAAAGAACACAAGATATCTGACCTTAAATGCACAATTGTCATCATTGTGCAAAAGCCCATTCAATCTGATCTGCAACATGAATTCCGTTCAAAATAAGATGGAAAGGTACACTTGATGCAGAACAGATCAGTTCTAGATTAGAAGTTATAATACTATTAGATATAAAACTACTTCACTATTTAGGAGTCTATTATTATAATTTTAGTAACTCTCTGGTATTTGATGTAATAAAAAACTTAAGTTTGATGATTAAGATTTCTTATATGTGATGTCCAACAAATCCTAAGGCTGTTGTCTATGTGGTTATACCCAAATCCCTATGGAAGCAAATTAACCTTATTTTGTCCTACATCAACAGTATCTTATAAATGAGGAAGTGTCTGGACCAATACCCAAAAAAACATAGCATATAACAATTATATTACTCTTAATATATTTGCCTTTGTGGATATCCTACCATTTCCTCTTAACTTTCTTTATGTAGTGTGTGTGTGTGTGTGTGTGTGTATCCATCATCCTCATCATGTTACCAGTGCCTCTTAAGTTTCCTCACTGGAACAAAATGAGTTGTTCGAAAAACCAAGAGAACTGCACAATTTAGCCATACCAGAGTGATAGTATCAGGATATTCTTGCAATAAATCACTCAGGACAAGCTCCAATACCTACTAGCAAAAAGAGCAATGAAAAAAGTGTTATCTCTGCTACTGATATTGATATTAATCATAGGCCATACCTGAATTCAGAATTAAAAGGGAAAAAAACAAGCATACCGCTACTTTTCCAGAACCGCGAGGACCAAGAAGCAGGATTGAGTTGTTACATGCCTCGGTGACTGAACTTGATAGTATGAACTTCAACTTGCTGCATATTTAGAAAATTAATTGAATCTAATTACAACAAAATGAACAATAAAAATGGAAGAAACAATGAAGAAGTAATATGCATTTTGTAGTAATATTACCTTTCTATTTTAACCATTCCGGCCAGCATAGCAGCTAAACTTGAAAATATTCAATGTAGGTTTCTTTGGGGGGATGAGGAGGGTTATAGAAAATTATCATTAGGTGAGATGGGATGATGTGAAGAAACCTGTTAGGGAGGGGGACCTAGGTTTAAGATCTGTTTGAGAGATGAACTTTGCACTTCAAGGGAAGTGGCTGTGGAGGTCTCTTATCGAGGAGGAGAAGCTGTGGAAGAAGGTGGTGAAGGCGAGATGGGTGATTGGGAGAGGGAGAGAGGCAGGAGGGGTAGGTTTAGACCGGATGGTATGAGTTTATGGAAGAAAATAAGGGATGACAGCAATGTTTTCATGAGCTGTGTGGGATGGCAGGTGGGAAACGGAGAGGAGGTTTGGTTCTGGCAGGATGAATGGGTGAGAGACTTCAAGTTAAAAGACCGTTTTCCTAGAATTTATGCTAATGCTAGTGATAAGGAGGTTAGCGTGGAGAATGCTTATGGGACAGTTGGTGGGGGTAGGGCTTGGAGTGTTCGGGTTAATAGAAATTTACAGGATTGGGAAGTGGAAGAGTATGACAATTTACTTCTCTGTTTGGCTAACATTAATTTGGCCAAAGAAAAAGATAAAAGGGTGTGAAAACTGGATGTCAAGAGGGGTTTCTCGGTGAAACCTTTCTATAATTTTTTATGCAAGCGAGAGACCAGAGAAAGCATGTCAGCACCTTTTAAGCAAATTTGGAGGTCTAAAGCTCCCTGTAGAATTGTGTTTTTTGCTTGGGAAGCTGCTAAAGAATGCATATTGATTCTTGACATGTTAAGGAGGAAAGGCAGCACTTTAGTAAATAGATCCTACTTATGTAAAGCTGATGAGGAATTGTGTTGCCACTTACTGCTGGGATGCTCAGTGACATACAGCATCTGGTCTACTGTGTTCGGGTTTAAGGAGTTGAATTGGATAATGGCAGGTAATGTAAGTAATGAGCTGTGGGCGTGGGCGGGCTTTTGTAAAAAGAAAGGGCATTTATTCCTTATTCCATTTACTATTTTTTGGATAGTTTGAAAGCAAATAAATGCGAAAGCTTTTAAGAGTATAGAGACTAACTTTATAAACACTAAGGATAAATAGATTCACATTTTTTACTCCATATTGTTGGGTCATGACATTAAAAATTGGGAAGATATTGGTTTAATCATTAATCACTTGATTGATATGTAACTATTTTGTATACGGATCATGCTCCCTTGGTACCTATGAGCATAATAATACTTCACTTTTATTTCAAAAAAAATATGCATTTTGTGGTAAAGAACAACATTGTCAATGAATATATATGGAAATAATGAAGAATTAAAATGCATTTTGTGGTAACTAACAGTATTGTCAATGAATATATATGGATTCCATATTTTGAGATCTGACCTGTAATTGCTCTCTGGGGAGTCAGATAGAGGTTTGAAGATGAAGCAAGGGTTGCAAAGCCTACTTCGGAGGAGAATTAGTGCTTTCTCTGCTAGATTCTCTCTGCCCATTGAATTCTCTCTTCAGCACAACAGGGATATGTAGGTTTTTTCCTGACAAAATTTAGAGGATTCTGATCCATTCATGAAAGGGACCGGGCACCAAAACTAAAATTGGTCAACAATTCAGATATGGAACGGTGTTGGCAAGTTGCAAAACAGTTTGTCTATGGTCAAGACTAATATCAATTAAACTTTCAGGTATCTGAATGGCATCAATATATAAGTCCATTATATTGTAAATACCCGTTTTGGACAGAAAAAAGAAAGGACACCCAAGCCTATCATCAATCATTCAATCTATTTATATTACCACCCAAACAGTATTCACAAACCAAGCATACACAAACTCATACATCACAGAGGTAAGAGATCAAAAATCAAAAGAAAGCAAAACCAAAGAAGTGATTTCGGCTATGAAAATGCCACAGGTTATTAGGTACTTGGCTCATTTTTCTCGTGATTTTTGTGGCAAGATTCCCATGTAAAAACAAGAGCAAATATCAGGTAACCAAGTAAAATCTTGACCAATTTTTATTCGTTCAAGGACCTGAACAATTAGATTCTTTTCGTATCAGAAACAAAAAATCAAGTCACATATGCCTGGTATGTAAACATCCATTTGACTGAGTTCCATGCCTAGGACCAGACGGTGAACGAGATTAAGCAAGCAAAGCAGAGTACTCTGGTTACAGAGCTCCCTCGTCAAGGGAAAATGTGTTTGTTTTAGCATGGTGAAACACAACCTAGCAAAACTCCATTTCAAACATGTTCCACAATTGATTTCTCACATGACTTTTCACAAACATGTCGCGTGCATCGAATGATCATTTATGCTGAGATAAAGATACGCTAATTACCTTAAATCAGTGCCAGGAATCAAAATCAAACGTCCTGGCCCTTTTCTTACTGACTGAAACACGGCTAGAACCTTTATAAAATGAAACCCGAAACCAGGTACATTGTCTATTTAGTGTCGGAAACCAGTTGCCGAGTGTTACCTAGTAAGCGCGATGGAGGAATGGAACGGCTGTGCCGTGATGTTGTACGTGCGACGTCCCCTTTGTTCGCCAGAGAGAGAAGGGCAACGCTAGTGTTTGGAAAGAAGGAAAAAACGAAGGGAAA